ATTGATGTTACGGATCAGATTCATCAACGAATTTTGTTTTTCTGCCTAACATCGTTTCCTTTTTTGAGACCCTTTAATCACGCAAATCTATGTTTAATTCGTCCCACAAGTCTGCTATTTTGATGACTTGTTCCTTGGTGAATCACAGAAGTTGGACCCACGCTTAAATCTCTTAATTTTCTGTGCAACTGCTGCATATGTCTTGGGAAAAAATATTCGCTATGATTTCTCTGCCAGAAAACTTTCCTGTGCCAGACCCTTTGACTCTTTAACTCTCACATCTCTCCCGCTTTTTTGCCCTACATGTCCTCTCTATCCCTCCCTCTTCTATCTCTCTCCCTATCAATCTGCTCCTCTCCTTCCCCCTTTTCTCTTTTACACCATGACCAAACCACTGCCACCAACCACTGTAAGCCACCACCGCAAGTCACAACCTGCATTTAGTTGTTTAGAATTGTCGCCATTTTTTACACATTTTATGTGCCATGATTTGATAATTGTGCCTGTCTTAATTCATTTTCTGTGCACTTTCTAATGTAATATAGAGAAAAGTATCATCTTTCATGCAATCAATGGTGCCAAAAGAGTCCGAAAGACTAAGAATGATTCCATGCAATCAAGTGACAACTTAATTTGTACATACAACAATTATAAGAACAAATGCGCTCAGGTGGACAAAGTCACCATACCATTGACAAGCATGACAAGTGAGCCTTCGTGCATTGTAATCACTGGCCTTTGAGTTTTTGTTGTCTTTATTAATTTGTTGGGATATTTGAGTTTTATTTTTTTCAATAAAATCTGTCTTTTTCTTTGTTTAAGATAAGGGATTATAATTTATGCAACATCTTGATATTGGGCATTCATGATTTGATCACTTTTCTAATTATGTGCATTAAAGAGGTTGAATCTTGATTTGAAGGAATTATAGCAAGGGATTAAATTCTTTACAAACAAGTCTTACAGGCAACCAATCAAAATTGAGAAGCTACACAAACACATAAATCAATATTGAGGATTTCCAATGAATATGTATAGCTCCTTAATTTTGATTGGCTGTCAGTAAACAATTTAAAGAATCTATTCTTTTATAGCAATGAAAAGTATTTATTGAAAAAAAAAAGAACTTCAACTCTATTGGACTATGATGAAATGCAATTGAAAGTAAATGGATAAAAATGGTTGTTTTGTTGTATCTAATCTTTAAATATGACCTAATCTTTGATTAAATATTTGTCCTTTTCAATTGTGTGTGGGACAATACACAATATATTTTTTGTTAGTTTTGTGGTTCTATAGTTAGTGGGTATTTTATTGTAATTTTTAAATTAAGTTGGTGAGTTTAGATGGATTTCAACTATGCTAATATTTAACGCTCTATTAGATGTATACACTTACTACAATGAATTTTTTTTTTTTTTTTTGGCGATATTTGTTTTAAAAATTACACAGTATTTTCAGACACAGACATTAACTAATATACATATATGTGGCTTTTATGTGTGTGTGTATATATATATAATTTACAGTTTATGTAATTTTATTAATAAAAGGCCAAGTCGGAGTTTTTTTGTAACACATTTTAGACTCCGACTCCGACTTCGACAAACTTTGACTCCAACGGAGGCGGAGTCGAAGTCAGTGTTGAATTTTTGGATAGTTGCACACCCCTATTGACGTCTACTTTTTCAATGTCGTAAGAATCAAGTCAATTGAACATCAAAATAAAATGTTATGACCAAAATATCGAAATAATGTCAAAATATTTCCTTCTTGAATTCTCCTCAACATGCATTTATGCTTTGGAATGCCTCAGAACTTTCTTTTTTTTTTTATCAAATCATCCCCTGTTCCAACCCGAATCTTTCTTCCATTGTTTGCTTAATTTGGATCAATTCATTATCATTATAAATCATCCGAGTTACCTATGAAATGAGAAAATTAGCTAGAACAAGTATTAAGGTAGAAAAGTAAAGAATTTAACATATTTTATCGCAAATAATATGTAATTAACATATCCTTAAATATAATAAATAATACTTTTAATGGTTAATCATACACCTACACATGCACCCACAATAAGCACACTATACACACACGGGGGGTTGGTCTAAATTTATGTAATCAACACACAGACACACAGCCCTAATTAAACTACGATATTTGACATAGGTAATATTTTTATCTTCTTTTACTTTATAAATTGTATGCATTGTGGACATTTTTTATATCTTTTTAGCTAAATTATTAGCTTATATATAATTTTTATTTTTTAATTATACGAGCAGTCAAACTAGTTGATCCAACCATTGAATCAATTATTCATTGATTTTAAGGGTGTCAAACGTATCAGGTTGGATCATTTTGTGTTAGGTTGATTTCGTGTTTGTGTCAAAAATCTCAAAACACGAACTTAACTTGTTCAATAATTGTGTCGAGATGTGTAAACATTAGACCTATCCATTAAACGAATTACCCGAACTCAAACTATTTGTCACATTTAATAAACATGTCGTTTTCGGGTTACCACATATAACATGACATGTTTAACCTATGGAATAGACATAACTTGTTTCCATACCTATTCATTACCGTTAAATATATCATTCAATTATTCATTCAAAATTTCAAATAATTTTTTCACCAATAACATATCACATCTCATCAATGAAATTAACTAAAATGCATTCAAGTTTCAACTTAAAAATTAAAACAAGAACTATACTAGTATACTTCCATAATAATATTAAGAACTATACTGTAAATTATCATAGTAAAAGTAAGAAATAATAAATAATAATGCTAAGACCACATCAGTCATACATAATAGTCGAACTATACTGCCATAAACAGGTTTATAATAGCTTAGGTCGGGTTTATGTCCGAATAATGTCAACCCGTTTAAAATAGAAGGGTTAACCTGAATTTCACATGAAGCTGACATGATTTTTTTTGTGTTTAAGCGTGTTGACCCATTTTTAACTATTAATCCATTTAATTTTATGTCTGACTCATTAATTTCGTGTTCGATTCGTATCATATTAGCGTGTCGTATCAAAAATTGATAGCCTTAATTGATCTTGTCCATCTGTCGATTTAATGTGTAATCTAATTCTGATAACTATGATGTGGAGAATGGGATAAAGGGATAAAAACATGTTGGATTGGACATAATTAAGGTGGGTCCTGTTTAGGAAAGCTAAAAAAATGCTGGGATATCTCATTTTGGTCTATCCAATGCCCAATGGGTTTCTCTATATTTTTTATTTTTGGAGGGGAGATTCAAACAAAAATTCTATTCATATATTCATATCAAATCATATTTGTAATCGACTAAAATATTCATTATTAAGTGAATAGAAGAATGAACATTTTGGTAAAATAATATTTTTATCTACAAACATTGTCTCTGACTTTTGATAGTCACCACCCATGAATTTCATCAAACCTACATACATGAATTTTATTTCACTAATTATTGCTGACTGAGATTCATTTACCTTATAAATCCTGAGCCTCACATCTTAAATTAAACACGAGTTTAGAATGTAGATTAAACTATTGTCACAAAACCAACCCTTTAAATTCCATACAAACCCACACACCAAAAATGCCCCTAGGGGTGGGTTAAATTTGTGGCCAACAAGAATTCTTGTAAAAAGACTATTGTACCCTTTACTTTTCAAAAAATTGGATTGCTCACCCTTTACTATCTATAGGAATTTAATTTGGTTGTTTAAACGATCAAATTAAACTATCAAATTATCCTAATTAAAACTAAAAAATATTGTGTTTAATACAATTTGACCATTTGTTTGAATTTTTTAGTTGTATTCTAATAGATAGTATAATTGTATAATAATTATGATTTTTTTAAAAAAAATTAAATTTTTATTTTTATTTTTATTTTAATAAATGATACAACAGAATATTAATTTTGATTGTAAAATTTAAAATATTTGATATTCTATCTTTAATTGAAATATTCTTGGTCTAAATATAATATTTTAAATTTAAAGGGTCTAAATATTACACGTTTATAAATTTTAGGGGTCTGAGTATAATTACTAACGGATATACTAACAAATTTTAATCATAAGAGTTTAAGTATTACGCGCATACAAACTTCTGAGAATCTATGTGTAATATTTCAAATGTTAAGAAGTTTGAGTAATTAAGGAATAAATTTTAGAGGATCTGAGTGTAATTCTCAACTAAGATAGGTGGTTGGCTCAATAAATCTTATAAAATTTTAGTAATATAATTTATTAATATAACATTCCACTTTGATGTGATTAAACAAAATTTGGCACTCTCACAAAGCCAAGGCTTTGATACCACAGCATCGTGTCAAACCATTTTATTGCACCCAACCAAAATTCTCCACGTAGAGTATGACCTGCAAAATGGAACCCACGTCACCTAAAAGATCATTCAAGACTTTCAAGTTCAACGAGAAATTTTTTTTGGGGAATTAATACATTATATTATTATATGGTTTACATCACGAATAAAAAGATTACACATGTTCAACAAATAACTGCGACTTAGTATATTATCAAATTTTGTTATGAAAAATTCAACTACTCCACCCCCAAATTATTTTTGATAGTATTTTTTTTTTGTTGCACAAAAAGGTAATCAAGGACGATCAACCGTAACACTCTCAATACATTACTTTGAGATTTTTATTCATTATATAACGTTCGATTTAAATTATAATTATTGACCTGAGATGATTCTATCCACCACTATAATACCGTCAAAGACAAACTAAACATTCAAGGGTGTTTGGTATGGTGGATAAACTCGGATTACACCATTTGGATTGGATAAAAATAAGGTGGAATCCATTTATGATTTATCCTTGATTTGGCAAGAAAATTTAAAATTTAAGGCTGGACAATCGTTGTAATTGAAAAACTCGGCCGTAGTATTTGAGCTCTTTTATCCCTTCGCAAGGGATACACAAATCCCACAAAAACTTTGGGATTATGCAAATGGCGACCGGATTGTGGGATGATTTTACCATTACACACCTGAAATCACCCCCAGAACGGCTCAAACTCCTCCATTGGCAAGGGCAAAGGTATGTTTCCTCTCTCTCTCTCTATCTCTCGCCCCCCTCTCTCCCCTAAACTCAGCCATGGCAATCTATTTGCCCTCACCATTGACGATTCTATCATCGTTCACCCAAATATCTACCTAAACTCAGCCATGGAGGTCCACGGTATTTGCGCCATTCTTGATTACACTGTCAATGGTGGTGACTTCTTCGCACCACCAGTGATTCTGCCATTTTTTCCGACCGGGAAAGTCATAGGTGGCCGGAGGTCTGACGCAAGATGCATGTGCACTGAGTTTCCGATGGTTTTCTCGATTGTTTGTGCTGTTTTTGCATTCAAGATTCTTAGAAACCCTCTTGCTCGTTGATGGGTTTGTTCACAAATCAATGATTGTGGCTGTTTTTGTTCTGCGAAGATAGTCTAAGCACCATTAGATGAGAGGAAAGATGAGTATGGGGTTTTTTTGTTGTTGGGTTGGGTCATTGTTAACAGTACCAGCTATGCTTCTTGAATATGGGGCTATTTTGTTCTTATTTTCTGCATTAGTCTGTAATTTTTTATCAAAAAATTTCTATGGTCTGTAAAATCCTCTATTTCATCGATATATCTGAATTAGTTTCTTCTCGTATTCGTGTTTCAGTGAAGTTTATTTGTTTGTATGTAATGACAAAGAAAGAAAATGCTAAACAGATCAATTTTGATCTCAATAAAATGGATATTTATTCTCAATTCTATTCCACCGCTGATGGCTCTTACGATGACTATAGTTTTGCTTGTGCCTCTTGATTTTGAGATTGGCGAATCTAGGAAGGTTTCATCGGTGGCCGATTATTCGGTGGATGTCGAAAATGAGGTGGGTGAAATCAAAGTGCATTTGGGGAAATCAGAGAGAGATTGTCGAATCTGTCATCTGAGTTTGGAGAGTACTGGTCCTGAGTCTGGGATTGCCATTGAATTGTGTTGTTCTTGTAAGGATGACTTAGCAGCAGCTCATACGCATTGTGCTGATACTTGGTTCAAGATTAAGGGAAACAAGTGAGTAAAACAAAATCCCAATTTTTTCATGCCGTTTTCTATAATTACTTGAAAGTTTTGGGTGAAGTTTAGTGTTTTGTGGTAAATTTTAGATACCCATTTGGTAACTCCCAGCATTATGCATATCTTCGCATCATGTGACTCAGTATAACTGCTCACTCCATGGTCTATTTGTATTTTGAAACATAATAGCCTGTCTACATGTAGCTTCAATGTAATTTGTTCCGTGTATGATTGTCTTCGTTTTGTACGTATATTTCAAGGCAACATGAGATTTGACCATGTTGATACGTGTACTTATATAATGTAAAATATGTTTATGTAACATCGAATCGTTTATTTTATTGTTCTTAATTTTTTTTTTAAAACAATGTGGAACAATGTTACGAGAAAATTAATGTGCTCGCACTTGTGTAGTTTTGGAAAAATGAAAATTGAATTATTTTCGGTATTTCTTCTTCGTGATACAGCTGTTACATTTTTTATGAAATATAAAAGTGGACAACATGAATAAAATTTCATAGCCAACATTGACTTTGACTTGGATAGAATTAAAGGGTAAAATTGTAAATTCATCTAAAAATAGAGAGATTTGACACAAAAAAATAATGATTTGTCCGTGGATCCCATAATATAAGAAATTATTTTCCAATTGAGGGATATGATTGCACCATTTCATTAGTATCCTAGTTATTGGGTTTTCGTTGATTTGGTTTGGATTAAAAATTCAAACCAATCCTATACCCCAAAAGTTTTGCCAAACATCCCCTCAGACTTTTTAACAGTATCCAATTCATAAGAAGTATCGACACGGGTTCGAACCCATAACAACTATTTAGGAATGCGTTTTTTTTTCTTCTCTCTCTTTCTCTCCCACGCCGATCATTAGAGATCGTTGGTTACAGAGATGGTGGGTTAAGGCATGTGGGAAAGTTTTTTATGTTTTGATTGATGAACAGAATGGCTTCGTATCAATTCCGCAACCAGCCGAATCAGGCCTACAATCCCTTCTCTAAAAGTGAAATCCGCCATAGTCGTTCCAAAGCTCAAATGTGCCTTGAAAAGATTCTACTCATAATTTCGTCTTTCCCTCCTGATTCAACCTCCTCAAAGCAACCAACTTCGACTGCTCAACTCCAAGAATCAGATGATTCTATGACAAACGAAAACAGGGCTTTGCTTTGTGTGAATAAAGGGTTTGATATGGACTTGAAAAATAGCTTAGATCCACCATCAGAGATACGGGAATCGAAGTCCGCCGCCGGAGATGAAAGGCTGGTCAGTGGCTGTAGCGCCGTCGCAGAGGGTTGGGTAAGTGATTTTCCGGCCGTAAGTAGTGGTGTTTTGAGGATTGATAAGATCTTAGAAGGTGAATGTGCTGAAATGACGGCGGAGAAGAAGTACGGAAGCGATTCATCAGCTATAGATGCAAATGAGGAAGAAGAAGAAGAACCGGCAATAGTTGCAGAGAAAGCCATTGGGGTTTCATCGCAAGTTCAAACCTTGGAGAGTGACGACGATGGAGATTCTGAAAAAACTAACGGCGAAGAACAAAGCAACATCGAACAAGAACAAGCTAAAAATGAAGAAATCAATGGCGATGGATTTCTAGGCTTGTTAATCGAAGCCGCAGAGTTGATTTTCGGCGAGTTCAGAGATGATGAATCGGAGGTTCACAATCACAAATCCACCGGAACAGAAACGGCCGTGAAAAAAATTAACGCGAAGCGGCCGGAGCCGAACCATTTTCCGGCTTACGGGGATTTCGAGGACATCTCGCCGGTGGTCCGATCAAAGCGGGGACGTAGTCAGGTTCTGCCGTACAAGTACAGAGACTCCGTTCTCGAGCCATTAACACCATTGTCGCGACACAGATCAAACATGGTTCCGACGAAAAGAAGATCAAGATGAAGACATATAGATACAACAAATATTTAGTATCACTTTTTGCAGGCTCAGAGGAAGATTGAGAAATATCAGGTGAAAAAAAGAGTTGAATTTTTTTTTTTGTGATTTGGGTTCTGTTTATTAGTCTAATTCGAAATTTGATGTTGTTTATTTCATCCACAATTTGTTTGTGTTCCCAGTTTTATTATCATTATTTTTAATATTATAAGTTAGTTTTGTGGAGCAATTAATCAATAGTGGTAATAGAAATTTAAGATAGGAAAATAAAACACAATATACTCTACTTAGTTTTGTTAAATTATTGCATGATTCATTACACGATATTAGAAAGTTTCTATCTTTTTTAAATCATCATCGATTTTGTAAACAAATAAATTCAATGTCCCAATATAAATCAAAACTCGAATGTCTAACTTCACTCGATATCCTACTGAATACTATTATTATAAAGCTACTACTACCATACCCAATATAAAGCTACTACTACTGTTATTATTATTATTATTTGTTATTGTTCTTTAGGGTTTTAGTCAGTCAACAGAATCTGTTGAATGGAATGGACTTTTGCTTGCCTATGTTTAATTCCTATTCCTATTCCTATTCCTATTCCTATTCCGACCTGGTGAATTAAACAATCCGCAAGCCCATCTCAAGGACTAAGGAGCACGGAGAGGAAAGACTTTGACTAGACTAGAAGTGATTGAGTCAAGCAACCACCGACTGGGTCTCTAGTCTTTCGGATGTCTTTTCTTTTTTCTTTCACCTTCTCTTCAGTTCGATCGTAAACAAGTTATTCAAATTGAGACTAAAAAAATTCATGAATCTCTCGTATCTTGACCTAAGATACCTCAACAGTTTGATCAGATTTGAACTTAAAATGTCTGAGTTTATAACTCGTTTTTGTTATCTTTTAAACTATTAATTAGAATTGTCTTTTAGATTCTTTGTGACCCTGTTACCGCTTAAGCTTTTTTGTATTGCTAAGAAAATCACAACTTGAGAATCGTGATAATTTGTTAAGAGCAATGTTTTGGGGACATACTAATTTAAGAATTTAATGATTGTGGTCATTAAATTGTTATTAACTCCTAATATTAAATTATTATTGAGTCTCAACACTATCAAACTAATAGTTATAAAGCATTAAGTCTCCAAATTATATTCATAAATTATGTCTCAATAACATTAGTGATTTGGTAATATAATTTACTATTCTTATTGAAATAACAACACATTTTGATGTTAAATAGAATTAATTATAAATTCAACCATTATAATAAATTAGGCCAATAAATTAAATTTAAATAACGTTATTCTTGTGATCACTTTGTCAACTCAAGGTAGAAGCTTACTCACCATTGATGTATGTCAAAAATAAAAACAAATATTAATTATGTTGTGTTACTCCCGAAGTGTCTCGGGATTCGCATTTTGATCTTTGATGTTGTTTTCTAAATTCGCTCCTAAATTTTGACAATTATGTGCAATCGTTCCTGAAATTGTGGTAACTATGGTTGTGGTAACTATGGTTTGAATTATAAATAAAAAAATCATTGCATACCATGTAATGAAAGGCAGATTGAGGACACTTTTTTGGAAAAAATATCTGTCAATGGATTGACATTTAATTCAAATAAGATCACAATTAAATATATATTAGATTAATTGAATACAAATTAATATTTTTAATCGATTATCTAAGTCAGACATTAATATTTGATTTAATTATAACTAAATTTATATAATAAAGTAGAACGATTTTGAATTGTGAAAACAGAATAACTTACATCGTTTTGTAACTAAAAAAATCATCATCCAACGGATGACATTATCTCAAACTATTGAAGTCTCAGATCGTTTTGATCCAACGTACCACATTAGCTTTTTGAAATATTTTTGCTGCTCAAAATTTTTAATTTTCAAAATTAACACCCCTACATTGAATTCGTCTTTCAATCTCGCCTAAAATCAATGTCATCTAAATTTAAAATTCTGTCCAAATCTAAAATTTAACGTCCATATTTAAATTTTAACCCCCGCTTATGCTACTCTAAATCATATCATTTCTATATCAGAAAAATCACTTTTTCACATTACAATTTCAAAATATTCAATATAATAATGATGCTATATTATTTACTCTCCTTTCCTTTACCACCTGTATCCATCTCGATTTTTTTATCTAATTATTTATAATATCGCCTTTCTCCTCTGCCTCCCTTTCTTTCTCTCCTTGTTCCTCTTCTTGACCTTTGCCCCGAACGAATAACCACCCAGGGCCGACTTAATAATATGGAAAAAAAACATATAGGCTTTAGCCCCTAAATTTTTAAAAGGTCCCATAATTTTAGGGACATCACTGGCCCATAAAAAAATTAAATCCATTAAATTTTAAGCCCTACAAAAAAGCTCCAAAAAATTAAATTCAATCAAAATTTTTATTACATTAATTTGGGTGTATAATCCAATCAAATCCATAACATTAAAAACTTAGAAATTAAAAAAAAATAAAAAATTACTCAAAAGTCAACTCATATTTACTCTCACTCATTCTCTCTCTCTCTCTCTCCATCCTGTAAAAAAAAAAAGAAAAAACAAAAATAAAAGTTGAAATTAAACACTATCTCTCATTCTTTGTGGTAAAAAACAAAAATAAAAGTTGAAATCTTTTTATCAACAATATTAACACATCCTTCTTTTGTCTCTCTCTCACATAGAAAATTAAAAATAAATTAATTTTTTTTGAATAATACTAAAAATAAAAAGACCTTCATTTAATATTTTTACTTTAGGCCACAAATTGAACTTAAGCTGCCTCTACAACCACCGGTGCCCCATTCTCTTCTCTCTTTTTCTCTCCTTACCGAAACCTTCCCTCTTCACAACAACACTATGGAGGTACCATCGGAGACAAAGTGATTAACCATCAACAATCTTGAAGTCTCACCCAGGTATCCCTCCCCCATCTCTCTCTATGTATGTCTCCCTTTACCACAACCATCCTTTCCTTCCCTTTCTCCCCTCTGCCACCGAAACTCATAATGGCCCACCAAATACCCTATATATCCAAAGCCAAACTCTTACATGCAGCCGACCAGCACCTCCGCCCCTTTTCCTCCCCCGTCCCCATCACTGCCACCGAAACCTCCCTAGCCAAAAAATGCCTCCCCACCTTCACACGCACAGATTGCTACTAAAACCCACCATGATCACCGAAACACCAAATGTTTGTATTATTGCTTCAATGAGCGGGCCAATATTATCCTTATTTTTTAGCGAACTTATTTTGTCTATTGCAACGACCATCTATAGCACGACGGTGCAGCTTTAGCGATCAACAATGATACAACTCCAGCAAGACGATGATCTCTTAAAAAAATGGTTTATTGGTTTAGGTTTGTTATTTTTTTTAGTTTTACATATTTTTAGGTTATTTATAATCTTTTTCTATACGTTTTAGGATATGAGGACCTAAGATTGGTTCAGGCTAAGTGGTCCTTTGTGAACAAGGATGAGTTCATCTATTTTGGGTGTTTGTTTTGTCCAAAAACTACAAAAAATTCCAAAAGAACCAAGAAGTCCTTTTGATCAAGAGTCAAACCTTTTATTTTTTTGGCACATTTGAGAATGATTTGCATCAAAAGAAAGCAAAAATGACAAGAACCGTTGTGAGGTGTATGCACAATGTTTAATAATTTCTCCATACTACTATTCAAGATTCTTTATGTTGTAATGCCTATGTTTTTAAATATTATTTTTTCTCTAAAAAATTTGAAACCTTGACTTCAATTTAATGTTTTGTGCACATTCATAAATTTTGCAAGTTGTACACTATTCCTGTACTATACTAAAATTCAACTTGATTTGTTGTCAATATGTTTTATAGTTCATTTGATTTGTTGCCAATTTGATACATTATTTGGCTTAGATTTTAGTTAAAAGTAAGCTCGCCTGCTTGAAGCGGTACCGATGGTTGCTGAAAATATGTTTTAGGTTTGGAAGTGATAATGATGATGGTCTTAGTGATGATAGTTAATCTCGAAGTTGTGATAGATGGGTGGTGGTGGGATAAAGCTCTTGGGACAAATTTGTGCAACATAAAATTAACTTAGTTTATGAAATTTGGTTGAAATTGAATAGCAAAATTAATTTAAATAGTTGACTTGGTTAGATTTAATTTCAATTTGAGCACAAAATTTGATTAGTTATTAAAATTTAGGCTAAAGTGGTAATAATGGTAATGATGGTATTAGTGGTAATTGTTTTGTAAAGTTGTGTTTTTAAGAAATTTTGCTTGAATTTTTTATGAAACTCAAATTTTATGTATTTAGTTTTTCAATTTGATAATGTTAATGTAGTTGGATTTAATCATGAAAATTTGATCAAGATCAGTTTCTATTGATGACATGCTATCTCTCCACAAATATATTTAAGTATGATATATGAAAAAAAATTTTACTTGATAAGGTTTGCACATTTTCATATTTTTGTAGGGTCTTATTTTTAGAGAGAATTTAGCCGTAATTGTTTGAAAAAATAGAAAAAAAAATTATATTTAGAAGCACGAGTATTCTCTAAACTATCAACATACTATGAGGACAAAAAGTGTAAGTTAACCCGATAGAGTGTTAAGAATTTAGTTTTAATTGATTTAGGTTTTGTTGATGTTATTTATTATATTTTTTGTGGCAATTCATCTCTTAATCCCCTTTCCTTACTTTTTATATCATATTTATTTGATTGTTTTCATACCATAATATTTTTAAATTTACTACCATTTGGATATCAATAAATAATTAAATGATCATTGAACAATGTTTGAGATTGTTTTGATTTGTATTCTATCAATTTTTTTAAAAAAATAATGGGCTCATATTATATTTATCAATGTTTGTTCTTAGTTTTTCTAGTTAATAATTTTTTATGGTATACAGTCTCTTAATACACATGTATTTGCTTTCGATTTTTTTGTTTGTTACGTCATGCCTACAGGCACGGGCAATTACTACTTATTTAATAACTTTGAATAATATTTTTTTGTGTAATTAAAGTCAAATTTGATTAATTTCATCCAATCCTGCC